TTTGTTCTCCTGTTGCAGTATGAAGCAAAATGAGGTTCAACATTATGCATCAACAAGTTTATGAGGATTTGTGTTTTGGGTATTTTTTACTTGACATGTTAAATGGAAATATTATCAACAAATGTGAAAAAATCTGCTCAATTAAGAAATGTACCATTCTAGAGAATTCTTATCATCAGAACTATGAAAGCCTACAACAAATACTTAGGAACTACTATGTCTCAGTTCAGTTATTGATAATTACTCAATTAGAAGCTGGTAATGAAGCACTTTCATGGTGGCAATAGCATATAAAGGAAATATGCATCATCAGTGTAATTTGAAGACAATGACAAATGGAGTAAGGAATTATGACTTTTACCTTGGATCATTTTCAACATTTTGTTTTAACATCTCTAAACAAAATTTCGAGAAAGGCTATCCTAAAATATCTCCAATTATCACAGTTTTATTTTTTGTTGGGTACATTTTGTTTTCCTTGACCTGTATCCTTTTGCATCTGGGGTCATTGTAAAGTCGAGTTGTTATGCCTTTGTCATTGGAAGAGGTAAAAAAAAACATAGATGACTTTGAGGGTTAATTATCTATTTCTGTTCAGCAAATTTAAGGGATTTTTTTTATTTGAATGGCAGTATCAAGTAGCTCAGATGTATATGGTTATGAAAATGCAACAGCAAAACACCACAGGGAGTGAAGGAGTGGAGGTTTTGGAGAAGAGACCTTTCGAAGATGATGAGTTTGGAAAGGGGCAATACACATCCAAAATATATAGGTTACAAAGGTAAATTGGAGAAAACAGTACTATGTTATGTGAGCTTGAATAGAATTTGCAATCTTTCTTGTGCACTTGATCAGATGAATAGCAGTACATTTTGATGTAAGCAAATGGAGTAAATATATGCATCAATTGTGAACTTGAGAAAATTGTAGGTCCATTCCATTGACAAAGAAGAAAAAGACATGGCCTATTTCTCTTTTTTTTTTTTTCAATCTTTATGAGGTTCGAGTTGCCAGTTACTACGCTCACCAAATTGATGTCCCTTAGGTTTTCTTCCAACTTCGATAATAGGTTTTCTACTTCAGTGTATTTTGATGATGTTCATTTTTCTGGCACATTTTTCCTCTTCATCCTTTTTCAGTAATCTGTATATATCTTTAGACTACTATACCACTCTCCAGAACCGTCTTAGTTCTATATTATCCAGTNGATGTTTGTGTCACGTGCATTCCAGATAGCATTCTTGCGTGGCACCCTATGGTTGTGAACCGAAGGGCCGGTCGAAGTCGAAGAGTGACCCCGCTGGAAATCCTGCTGTAGTCGAACAACAACTCACAACATTTAGCTGAAGCATGCCAAACTATACGTAAGCAACACACAATTGTCTGCAAGAGTATTTGAAATAGCAGCTAACTGTGAAGGACGATGCAATGAGACAACTCACAAGCAACTCAGATTCCACATAATCAATTAAAGTGGCAAGATTTGTGCAAACATTATTTCAGGATCACGTTTTGCTTTGCCTGTAATTTTATCCATGTTCTGAAAATGGTAGCTGTACATTTACATTACAGGTTTTCCATAATTACAGCTCGTTGAGTTTCATGTGTAAATCTTACCTTCTACATCAATACAAACTGTTTCGAATTACAAAAATATTGTTATTATCTTTCACATATCCCACTGTAATTGCAAAAGGTTCATAGAACTTACCCAAGACGGTTGGAACGGTTCCATGAGTTGCACTGAAGCCTGTTGAACTCGAAGCTGACGTAGAAGGAGGAGCACCGAAATTTGTTCGTGTAAGCTTGATTTCCAGCCTTCTGTAGCCGATAGTAGAAACTTCCAGGTGACGGCGTGTGAAGACCTGGTATTTATTTTGGGCGAAACTGCTGTAGATGCGGGAAAGGGAAATATAGCACTGGACCCACTTAAATTAACGGCTGGAGGAGAAGAAGCAATCAAGCAGGAAGAAGTTTATGGCCGTAGAAGCAGGCTGCAGGGTCTCCATTGTCGTGGGCTTCTCCGTGCGAACTTGTTGTCGACGAACACAGAAATAGCTCAGACACTTGCACATCCCAAATATTCCTTGCTTACGGTCGATCGGTTCTCCCTGCTGGATACGATGATGGACGGAGCTCGATCGGTAGAAATCGCCATGTTCGGTGGAGGAGGAAGGGTAGATTCATGTGGTAGTTGGGCAATTGGTGTGGTAGGTGGGTTGGTTTCTCTGCAGGGTAGGATTGTAAAAAGACTCCAATTTCGGACAGTTGGCTAGTTGCGTATTTCGGACCGTTGGACCATTAACGGGTCCATTTTCAATTAAAATCCAATTTGAAGCTGGCCCAGACAGGGCCTCTGCATAAAACACTATTAATTATTATGGGAATGAGTTAGAAAACATTCTTCCAAGTGCTTCATTGAATCTTCATAACTTAGTTGACCCTCTGAACCAAGATTTTAGGATCTCTAATTAACAAGGTATGGTTACCTTTACAAAGATCATTACGTAGTAGACTTTAATCACATTCCTTTCGATAGGCAACGTATTTGATCTCTCGATAAACCTTTAGTAAGTGGATTCGTGATGTTTACATTTGATTTCACATAATCTATGGAGATGATACCATTAGAGATAAATTGTTTAATGGTATTATATCTAGACGTATATGTCTAGACTTACCATTATATATACTGATTTGAGCTCTTCTAATAGCTAATTGACAATCGCAATGTATACTAATAGCAAATATCGACTTAGGCCAACATAGAATATCTTCCTAGAAGTTACGAAGTCATTCTACTTCTTTTCCAACTTTGTCCAAAGTAATAAACTCTAATTCCGTCGTTGATCGAGCTACACACGTTTACTTTGTCGACTTCCATGATATAGCAGCTCCACTAATGGTAAATATATAACCACTAGTAGACTTAGAATCTTTTATATCGGATATCCAGTTTGCATCACAATATCCTTCTAATACCATGGGATATTTTCTGAAGTGTAATCCACAGGTTAAAGTATACTTTAAGTACCTAAGAACCATTGTTAAAGCCTTCCAATAATCATATCTTGGATTACTTATGAATCTACTAAGTTTCTTCATAGCAAATGTTATGTCCGATCAAGTGCAATTTGTAATATACATAACACTACTTATAACCTGTGAATACTTTAGTTGTGACACACATTCAACCGTATTTTTGACTAATTGTAAACTTGTGTCAATAGGGATTTTCGCAGGACTTTCCTCAAGTACATTATATCTTTTAAGTATACTATCAATGCGTGAGATTGGAAAACTATAATTTATTCTAATGTTCTAAGATTTTAATCCCTAATATCACATCAGCCAGACAGCCACACCCAAGTCTTTCATATCAAAATATTTTTTTAACATTCTCTTGGTGTTTAGCATTATTTTGTGACTATTGGCCATTATCAACATGTCATTTACATATAGACATACAATCACGTAAGTCTTTGGTGTATGTTTAATGTATACATACTTGTACACTCATTTATCTTAAACCCATTAGGCAACATTATTTTGTCAAACTTTTGATGTCATTGTTTAGGGGCTTGTTTCATTTCATACAAAGATTTAACTAATTTACAAACATTTTGTTTGTGATTAGGAGAGAGAAATCATTCGGGTTGTTCCATGTATATCCCCTCATCTAACTCTCCATTCATGAATGTCGTCTTTACATCCATTTGATGAATCTCAAAGTTATGTTACGCTGCAATAGCAATTAACAACCTTATCGATGTGATTCTAGTTACGGATGAGTAAGTATCAAAGAAGACAATTCCTTCTTTTTGTCTATATCCCTTGGTAACCAATCTAGCCTTATATTTGTCAATGGATCCATCCGGTTTAAGTTTCCTTTATAAAATCCATTTACTTTCCAAAGACTTGTTCCCAGGTGGTAAACCAATTAACTCTCAAGTATGGTTTTGCATTATAGAATCTATCTCACTATTGATAGTTTCTTTCCAATGCAGTGCTTTCGGTGTAAACATTGCTTCATCGAAAGTTTTTGGGTCATTTTCTACCATATAGGTTAGAAAATTTGAGCTAGACGAAGTATATCGACCCATTTAATTAAATAATAGCATCTTGGGATTGGATAAGCCTCTTTAATCAACCAACATCATATTAGGCTTGGAGCTCGGCCCATCATGCCACTTGGCAAATTTATTTCTTTATATATGCGTGAGTTCATTTCACATAAGGTATGATTTCTAACCCAATTCAAATCCTCATTCTCTCTCTTTTGTACTATCTTTTTTCTCTCGTTCGGCCGTTGACTTGACAGTTGGAGTGCAAATGATCGTTAGATTTTTTTTGTCGATCGGTGTCATTTGCCTCCTAACATGATGTTCTAGTGTGCAGGTGCTACGTGGAAGGAATTCTGTAGGTGCATTTTGATAAGTATATTTTCTACATTTATTCGAGGTTTGAAACTCTAAAATTTTGTTATTTTTTTGGTAAAATATGACCTACATTATGTTATATTGCATCTTGTAGGTAAAACTCAATGTTTGATGAAGAATTGGAGAAAAGAATGCAAAAATACTCAAGAAGATAGGAAAAATCAAAGTTCGAGAATCAAATTGCAAATACTCAAGAAGATACTTTGAAGATTGTTAGGAGACAATTGGATGAAATTAGAATTCAAAAAGGAATGGAACATGATCAAACTATTATCAAAATCAATTTCCAATAGCTCATGATATATTCCAGATTTTTAGTCAAATATTGAGACCCCTTTTTGGAATAGTAAACGTCTGAATTGAAA